CTTGAACTCACTTTGTATCCCATGCTGTTCCTGAACACCTGCTGATCTGCCTCAGCCTCCCAAGTGCTGAGACTGCTGGAGTAATAATTTTATTTTTTGGTACCAGGGATTGTAACTCAGCCTTGAATTTACCAGGCAGGAGTTTATGCCAGAGTTATCTGAGTTGGCCTGGGGATGAACAGTGAGCTGGGACACCCTAGCCTAAGGTCTGACATTTAAAATTCACTTCATACCTGTGAGCTGGGGCAGTTCTGGTCATCAAAAGGCTGCCTTGTTCTCTCCTTCAGCACAGGAAATTCCAAGGTGGTTTTCCATGTAAGCTCCTCTGGTTCTGTCCCAGGAGGGGAGAATGGAAGGGTCTGAATACCTAAGCTGCCTCAAGAGAAGATGAAATAAAATACTCAAACTGCTTGTCTGGGCCTCTGATTGCTGAAGGGGTGGCTGTCCCTTGGCATGGTTTGGGTTGCTTTGGGTCTATCTGTATATCTCCTTAAACAGATGGCCCTCACCCTGTTCTTGAAATGGTTCTGGCTGGATAGCAGTCTCTAGGTGGTGGTGAAATTTTGGACTGATTTGGGGCGGGGACAAGAGGAAAACAGGATTCCTTGTGCCTCTGGAGGACGGAGGCAGAAGGCAGTCAGAGACCCCATTCCCTGCTTGGCCATTCGTGGTCCTAGTCCATGATGGTGCGGGCTCCAGCACTCCTTGGTGCCTTCATTTTGCTGTCTGTTCTCTTGCATCCTAATGCAGCAGGCCGCCTCATGCCCAAGCTGGCTGACCGGAAGCTGTGTGCTGATGAGGAATGCAGTCGTAAGAGGGGAGCAGGGAGCTGGGGGCTCGGGTTGCTGGTCTGGGTGTGGGGTGTTGTCATTCCTTTTTTTCTGTTCCTTATTATTCGGCAGACCCCATTTCCATGGCTGTGGCGCTTCAAGATTATGTGGCTCCCGACTGCCGTTTCTTGACCATACACAGGGGCCAGATTGTCTATGTGTTCTCCAAGCTGAAGGGTCGAGGGCGGCTCTTCTGGGGAGGCAGTGTGAGTCATGGGAGAGGGAAAAAGGGAAAGATACGGGGCTCTAGTGAGAGTAAACTTCAGCAAAAAAAGAATGGGGGGAGGGGTTAACTGAAATAATGATAATTGGGAGATGGAATATTTTGTGGCATAATTTTATTTTTAGCAAAGGGCATCTTGGTGCCAAGTTCTGTCTTAGACATTTAGAATAAAGCACCAAATGATCCCTTTTATACTTTTTTGTGGGTGGTGGGTACTGCGAACTAAACTCAGGGCCTTGGGTTTGCCAGGTGGGTGCTGTGCCACTGAGTTAAATCCTGAGCCTGACCTCTTTCATTCTATTGGAGGGAAACAAGCACTAAGCCATCAAAAATAACAGCAAGTGGGCCAGGGATATAGTTCAGTGGCACAGCACCTGCCTGGTAAGCACAAGGCCTTGAGTTCAATAACTGGAACCAAAACCAAGTGCAAGTAACAGTAAACTGGGTGCGCTGGTTCATGCTCATAATCCCAGCGCTCTGCAAGGCTGGGGCCTGAGCAGGAGGTAGAAGGATCAAAAGTTTGAGCTAATTCTTTTTCCTTTTTTGTATGTGGTTATTGCATACTAATAATAGGGTCTCACTACACAGCTTGGATTTGGGATGATCCTCCT